GAGAAGATAAGGTGTTGTGGTTCAGGTAAAAAGTGCACAGCTGAGCGCCTGAGTGCTATAAAACACTATGTGGTCCACATGGTTTGACTCGCTTAAAACATCCCAGGTCACCATGACAACCCACAAGCTAACACTGCCATCCCAACAAATGGCTGCCGATTTTAACATTTCTCAAGCTGACTTCATCTGTATGCGAGGCAATGCCGACAAATGCGGCCTGCGAGGCCGCCACGCTTGCTTTTGTAACATCAACATTAAATCAGTGAAATATTTTGTTCATAACGTAGCCCAGTGTCCATACTGGCTAGCGTGTATATTTCCAAAAGTCATGCACACAATTAAACAAAAAAAAACCTTAAAATTTATGGTTCGTTCCAAAAATTTTTATTTGATCCGCACCTTGCGAAATAAGAAAAGACCAGGAATACCTTCGTGATGGTTCGCTGTTCGCGGTGCAATTAAAAAGAAATCTCAATGTCTTGCGCCTATCTTCAGCTGCAGCAGCAGTCAGCAACTTGTCTTATTCGAAAAATACTTATAAAAATACGTCAAATTTGCATCGCTCTTCTCCCACAAAAAAATGGTTTAAAGGTATATTTTAATGATTTAAAAGTATATTATACTAATATTTAAGTAAGCGGCACCAAGTTATACACAAACAGCTGAACAGGAAAATTTCGGCCCATAAGGTCGTATAATTTCCCGTTCAGCACAACTGGACCTCGTCAGTACGATGAAAGCTCTCAGAGCTACCAGATCCTTTTCAGCAAAAATGCCACTTTGTATCTCTGCACTGGGAACCCCTGGAAATTTCTATGCCAAGACTACACCTCTTCAACCGATAAAAACGCATAAGGCAGGATAATTTTGTGAAACAAGACCCAAATGTAATGAAAAGATTGTCAATTTTAGTCATACTGCTACTCTTGTCATCCATAATGACGAATATGGAAAAAACGAAAACGAATGTCAGAATCAACAGTACAATGACCGCCCGATGAGGCAACTTTGGTCACGATAACTACGGTAAGGTTTCCTACTTGTACATGACGCGAAAGAAATGATGCCTAATCGGTGTATTAAAATGAGTTTTTCTGAGTGAATTGGGAGAAGGAGAAGAGCGAAACGAAAAACTTCAGCGAATATGTCCATTCGAGGTAATCAAGAGGGGTAGCTTCGGGGAATGCAAAACGTAATGGCATTGCTACAGATGCAGGAAAAACGACCGTTCAGCATCAGAAAAATGCAAACCAACGATATTTTTATGCTGATTTGTACAACATTTCCGATTGT